ACCCAATGATATACCTTTTGTACTACTTAGAAACCAATTACAGTAAACACCATTTTGACAAGGAAATGAAGCTAAAATAAACCATGATATTTCTAACAGACAAATGAGGCTTTGTAATTGTACTTGAGAAATGTTCCTTGCTGAAGTACACAAAGGTGTCATCACTCAGCCACATGTTTACGTGCATCAGTGATAATGTCCAATATTGCAATTGCATGCTTGTCAAGCCAAACATCAGTAAAGTTAAAAACATCCTGAATTGTGAAGATATCATTGCAATGACCAACCACCTGATCAATTACGTTATCGGTAAAACCAGTGACTTTGTCCATACTAAATAAACTGTCAGTTGGTTCCCCAAGTGAATTCTTATACAGTACTAAAGAGTCTRTCATTCTTTTCTTTTGTGACTTAGACATAGTTAAGGCAGCTTTGGCACTTGCGATCTTGCAGAGGTGTTCTTCACTCTTTGCTGAGTCAGATTTACAAACTGGACATATACATTTGGGAGAACAAACATCACAACAGTCATGTAACAACATAGCATTAGACAATCTGGTTGCCTCTCTTTGAGTATCAAAATATTTGATGAGAAGGAAACGGCGACAAACAGATATATTCTCACAATATTCTTTCATACAATCTAATTCCTCAAACTTTAATTTGGAAGCTGATGATTTGGTGAGTTTTGCTTTATAGTGCCCAAATTCTTTCAATGAGTAATATACAGTACTTGTTGCACATTTATTATCCCTACCAGCACGCCCACTCTCTTGCATAAACTGCATGAGATTGCTGGGGGAACGATAATGAATGACATGCCTGACATTAGGGCAGTCAACTCCCATACCAAAGGCAGATGTGCATATCACTACCCTTAAAATGCCATCTTCATGAGAAAATTTGTTAATGATATCTTTCTTAGATTCTTCATCTGTTATCTTAACATACATGTTCACAAGAAGCTCAGAGTTATATCTGATGTTTTCACCTAAGCCTTGCTCAAAATATTCAAAAATTGTAGCACAATGGTTTGTAGAAGTACAAAAAATAATAGTTTTATCTGTTTGACATTTTTTCTCCAGCAATGTTTGCACAATAGCATGAAAACAACAATCCAATGACTGATCTATGTCCACCTCCTTGTTTAGCTGAACAACAGAATAAAAGATATTATGCCTGTTTGAGGAACTTTTAACAAGAGAGCACCCTTCCATYTCAAGTTTAGAAATCACATAGTTCCTTGTTCTTGAACTTGCAGTGGCAGTTAATGCTAGCATAGGTATATTTGGCATTAAAAGTGCTCTTATCTCTCTGAGATCATTGTATGCTGTGCGAAAATCCCGTCCCCTGTAACCAAACAAAACAGCATTTCCTTTTGAAATAAAATTTGACATATTTTTCTGCTTATTTAAGCTTAAATTTTATTTTTTTTTTCATTTAAATTCTCAAATAAATCAGACATGTTAATAAGTTATTAAGTAATAATTATTTGTTATATATTCAACATCTGTACATGTTTTTAGGTGGTTTTGGATTAATGGCTTTGGAGAATCCATGATCTACACATTTTAAGTACTATGTTTCAGAATATAAGCTAAAGACTGCCAATCATAATAGATAAAATAACAATAAAATTAGAAAACTTAAGCTTATATACATAATTGTAATAATAAAAACACRCAAAATCAAACATACCATTGCTCCACACAATGAGCTTCGTCWACAGCTACACACATWATGTTGGCCTTAAATTGTTGAAGAGCACTTCTGATGGCTTCTGATTGAAAGCCTTCAGGTGAGACAAGTAGGAATTTAGGAAGACATCTTGAATTTAGTTGGGTGGAATTTAGATCCGTCAACTTAACGGCAGAAATCCCCTGAGAAGACATCTGAGATAGCTGATCGTCCATCAGAGAAATTAAAGGAGAAACCAGTACTAAGCTTGATGAAGTGCAGGTTGTATCATCGGTGGACAGAATAAAATCGCAGACAAAGGGAAAGAGAGTATAGATCAAGGATTTTCCAAAGCCAGTACTAAGATTTACAAAAACATCTTTTCCAATTGTTAATTCGTGAATGGCTTGAAGCTGTTCGAACTTAGGACTAAAATTATATTTACATTTTTTTAAGGCATAACTAACGGCATTTAGAAAAGCCGGTCCAAAATTATCTTTGTATTTCAAGTGGAAACTACCTTCCACCGCGCTCTCCGCCATCTTGGTAATTGTATAGGACTAGGTAACCTCGTGATTACCACATCGGTGTGGTAATCACGAGGTCGCTAAGCTGACATGCGCATGCAAGTTATACTGGACTCTCTTTCCCCAGCGATTCCGCGAGCGTCGGAAACGAGAGGCCAGGACTGGACTA